ACGTCAACTTCGAAACTAAACGACTCAGATTAATTTCTCGCTTGCGTCACCTATGAATACATGTGGGTGGTGGCTGTGTGTGTATTCTTATATACATTTACTTATAGCTATATCCATACATATTTACATTATTTATATATATTACATTCTTATATATATATATATATATATAAGACATTAGATGCATATATATGTATGTATGTATGGATGTATATGTCTTTGCAGTTGCATCCTAAAAAACCCTAGGTTTTACTTTAAATAATTAGACGTTTTTGTCAAAAGTATATAAAAAATAATGTTATTATATACCAACATAAGATTATTAATTTTAAAAAAATAATAAAGTTATATATGAATTTTTTTAGGAATATGAATTTTTCTTAAATATGATTTCTATATATTATGTGTACAATTTTTTATTAAAAAAATAAACGGAGTAAAACATATATAACATGAATTAACTCCACACTTAAAGAACAATATATACACGTGAGAGAGAGAGAGAGAGAGAGAGAGAGAGAGAGAGAGAGAGAGAGAGAGAGAGAGAAGAAACTAGAAGCTTTCTCCCGATCACTAACTTTTACTTTTGCTGCAGGCAAATCGAACATCTTGTCAGGTTCTTTCTACTACCTTTCTGTATAGTCAGGCACATACATATTATATGTGTGTGTGTATATATATATATATATATCTATCTAGTTGCAATTGCATTTGTAAAACGTGACTTCGGCCTTGCTTGCATCCTTCTCGAGAAGAGAACCTACCTTTTACCTTTTCACGATTCCCACGGACTCGAAAGGATACTATGATTACAACTGATCAGATTATTTGTTTTTCTTTTTTTTTTCCTTTTAATCTATCGAAAGAAAACGAGCTTGAATTTTACTTTCAAATTATCTGCTTCGATTCCTTTTATTCTCTCTTTTTTCTATTGTCTGGGAATCTAATTACTCATTTGAAAAATTCGTACGACACCGAATTCAAATGCATCATATTTTAAAGAAAAGAATATTTATACAGAGAAATCACTAGTAGTTAATTAGGTTATTTTAAATATCAATTACCACTTTGTCAAGAATTTGTAGGCTAATTTTTCTTCTATAATATCTTTAAGATTTATATTTAAAAAAAAAAATGATTAATTTGTAGAAATTATGTAAAAACTTTGGACCCATCCTGTATATAAAGTTTTGATCAAACAATTCGTTTTATCTTATTCATTAAATTAATACATTTTTAATGATGTTATTTTTGTGTTATGGGTAATTAGATATGGGATTTTTCGAAGAGTTCGTTTCTATGTCATAGTTAATTAACGTTTTATTAGTATACAAAAGCTTAGATTCTTAAGTATAGACGATAGATTTATGACTGTAAGAGTAATTAAGATAGATAAATATGTATACATACATATTAACATAGTCATCATCGTATCTTTGAAATTTTGATAGCTAAAGTCAATGTATGGTTTTTAACTCGACATATTTATGATCGATTAATCATACGTGTATTTACATGTGTACGTGATTTTTTGTCAAGGCTATTTTCATTTCTGTGAGATAAGTTTATGGCTTTTCATGGGAAACTTATTAAAATCTTTAGATTTCTTACTATGTGTATAAGAGAATTATAGGATGTCTCAAAATTTATTATCTATTTTAAAAAGATTTATATAGTCATATATTGTATATATTATATTTAAAGAAAGATGTATAAAGATTTTTGAGACACCCTGTATATATTGTAAATACGTATAACATCTCGTACAAATTGATATCGTATTTCTTCGAATGATTTGTCGTTCGTAATAAGAACGTCGTTTAATTAAACGTCCCCCTGACATTTAATAGTCGATGTTTAATTAATAATTGAAGATTACATCAATCAATTTGTCAGATAATATTAAAACAATAAGTTTTGATTAAATCGATCAGAAATATTATCGTGTATAATAATAAACGTAATATTCGAAAAAAAAAAAAAAAAAAAAAAACGAGTTTATATATTGCAATTGAATTTTCAATCGTATTGAAACTCGTATTATTTATGATGACATAGCATAAATAAAAAATATTTAATATTAATTATTACTATATTATTATTATTATTATTATTATTATTATTATTATTATTATACGAAACGTGAGTTACAAAGTACGATCTGATTCGTAATAACTTTGCTATACGTACTTGTTTTTCTTTCAGTAAACGTTTGCATTGCATAATGAGAAAAAAAAAAGCTTACCAATATAGCTGACATTTACATTTAAATGTAAGATAACGCGGCTTAACGTTAGAATAATCTTTTAGTTCATATTTTTCTACGAATAAACGTTTTTCACAGTTATATAGTATCATCTTTGTAGAATAATATTTACGTACAACGCGGTTGGAATTTATATAAAATTTCGTGCCTTGATGACACACAACGATTCGAAATTTTGTGTATATTAGTATGCAACCAAAATTTATTTCTAATAGAATTTTGTGCAGAATGGTAATAAGTAAATAATTCGAAACAGTTTTCTAACGTCAGGATAATATTTTGTATTTATTGAATATTGATTTAAATAATAAATAAGTAGGATAATGCAATTGAAATTTATTCGAATTGAATTTTAATAATAAACTATTGCATTTATTGATTTACATTTTGGCACATTATGAGGAAAATTATATAATAAATATATTTATTATAATGATTTAAATTATTTCCAACAGATGAAAATATAATGATAATTTTATTAAATAAATATTTGCATTTAATTTTAATTGATGATGCAATAGTAAAATATCAATTCACAAAAAATTTTTCGCTACTCGTGCATGAATAATTTTTTTTGAGTATAATGATTATAATTTTGTCTTATTAATCAACGTGAGACTGTGAAAAATGTGTTGGCAAGTGAACTGTAAATAGAAAAATGATAAAGACCAAGTTGTCAGACTTTCACGCGTTTTAATATCGCGATATATATATACCTATGTAATCTGTTTTATTTTCTGTGGAGATACCTTAGGTTGTATACAAAAACGATTCCATTTCAATCTTAAAGATTAACTTTGCTTGAGAAAGACGACTTCCATATAAGACTTCTTCCTCGTGAGTTTCCCGTTATATCAATGCGATTCTTTTTAAAGATTCCATACACACGTGTGCTACGAAATCTCTTTGAAAATTATTATATTGTATATTGTATTATATATTTTATTTCAACTGTAACTTTGTTAAAGATCTTAAATTACTTACAATTAATCTAATGTTACATAAATTCTACTTCGAATATCGTGTCTCACTCTATTATACAATATTTAAATAATATCTTTTTATATATATACAATTTCTATAACATAGCAGATTTTATTATAAACAAAATCTTATATATCATATCATAACGAGTAAAATATTATTATATCTTGATATAAAATATTTTCAAAATATCTATATACAATTTATTATTCAAACCATTTACTTTATATTTATAATACCCCATTAATATATTAACAATGTAATATCTAAACTCCGATCTTTGTTTAATCAGCAATCTACGTAGTCGCATATGAAAAAATAATAGTTGGGTTAATATTAGTACGTATAAAAGAATAGAAGAAAAAAAAAAATAAACGTTTTCTATCGTCCGAACGTATGTGTCATCGTCAGAAAACACCGCGATGCACGCGACCTGCATTTCTGTCATGCTGATAAAGTCGCAATAGTATATATATACATATATATGTGTATGTATTATATATGCATGCATGCATTTACTTACAACGTCGAATGGTTCGCTCGTAAATACGTAGAGAGTAACACAACAATGTCAGTTCGATGTTAAACAATTTCTAAATGTACCGTTATCTGTCGAACGAAAATGAAGACGAGCCACGATACGTTTAATAAATAAATATTTCATCTTTACAATTAAACTCGCTCATTTAACTCAACATCCGATTGATGACGCATAATTTTCTCTACCGTCTTTGAAAAAAAAAAATAAAAAAATAAAAAAGATGTACCAGGGAGAATAAAGTAAAAAGAGAGTAAAAGGTAAAAAGTTTCTACGTTAAATATTAAATTAGAATTTAATTTTCTCCTAATTTTGTTGTTGTTGAGATTATGTGAACTAACTTCTCTTTATTTTCTTCTATCTTTAATTAGGATATTATATGTGCCTTGCTTGATAAAAATGCAAGATCTTTAAGTTCATTTCTTTTTAAAGCTACGCTCTTTTTTAAAAACGATTGTTCATGCTTTCACGAAATTAGTTTACGAAACTATTCAGATCTATGAATTCGACCACAACGTTTTATTATTCTTAATCTGAAAGTAGTCGAAAGAAAGTCAAATATAAGAATGGAATAAATGCATGCTAATAATAAACGATTAATTATCTAACAACGAAAATTTACTTAACGTTTCTAATTTTTAAACACGAATATTATAATGCAATGAAAAAACGATTTAATTATCGAGACGTTTAATCTACGTAAAGATAAATTTATTATGATTTATTTTTACGCTTTTTACTGTTTGTAAATTGCGCTTATGCTAACATTCTTTTTTTTTTACGTTTGCAAAATATCCATTTGAAATAACATAAGAAAATTCATAGGTCTACTTAACAAAAAATAAATTTTAAATTAAATATATACATTATTAAAAATATTCTCAAAAAAATATTTCTAAAATAATCTTAAAAAGTTCTCCCATAATAATTAATATAACACAAAAAACCCAATAACACGAAATCCGATAAAAATAAATCTGATAGAAGTATCGGAATACAGAAGAGAAAGTTTAAAAAAGTTGGAGTCTTCTTCTTCTTCTTCTTCTTCTTCTTCATAGAAAACTTCCGCTTGTGGTCTAATATATCGAACTCCATTTTGGAACGATTTCGAAGTCGCATTACAAATAGCATTTTATCGTGAACAACACTATTGTAATAGTTTAACAATGTCTATACATGTATATACATACATATATATATATGTGTGTGCAGTTGAAATGGCGGTGAAGAGTCATGTAGAAGGGGTTAGCCAACAGGGTTGGGTGGGGAGGGACGTTGCCCCACCTTTCTCATTCGACTTTGACAGTTCCATTATGGTATCGAAGCTAACGGCAAACAGTACGTACCTATGTACAACGACAACGACGACAGGTAGTCGTGTCTCGATCGTGAATCAGTTTGTGCTTCTTGATATATACATACATCAAGGTATTTTTCTATCTTTCCTAAAAAAAAAAACCCTCCTACCCCTTCCTCCTCTCCTCCATTGTTTTATTCTCTCTTTCTATCTCTCTTATTTTTGTTTCTTGTACGTCCTCTTTCTCTTTCTCTTTCTTTTTCTTCGTCCAACCCCATTTTTACTTGTTTTACCTTGATTACCTGTCCTTATCTCCTAGGTGGTGATTTTAATCAGGTGGTGACTTTAATAGATTGGCGTTCTTATAAATCGCGTCGTAGAACTGAGAAATTAATTTTAAACTTACGTTAGTTTCTTATCGGATATTGGTATTTTCTTGGGCTAGCTGACACGTCGAAAACGAATATTCCTTAGAAGAGAGATGACGAGGGGAGAGAGTGAGAGGGTTATATCAAGGAAAAGACGTCTTAGGAAATCGAGAAGGATATCGAGTATTCCATTGAATCTCGTCGTACCATTTCTTTTTCTTCTTCTTCTTCTTCTTCTTCATTTTCTTTTTCTTAGATGACGATTTTTAGAGAAAGATTTGTATGTTAGAAGTTACTAATATACGAATATAATGGTCTGATATCAATTAACGGGATTAACGATTAAATGTTTACGATTAAAAATTATATTAGTATTGTATTAGAAAATTGATGCCATGTATACTTTAGAAATATTTCTTTTTCAAAAAATATATTTGCAATAGGATAGCTAGAGTTACGATATCCTATAGAAATTTTTATTGGATATCATGTTTTGTTATATTTAAACCAATCGATCGATCGAACGAACGAACCGAAGCGATTCGATTTATTTATTTATTTATTTATTTACTTTTTCATTTTATTTTATTTATCTTTCTCATTCTATTTTGTTGTTGTTGTTGTTTGTTACGCTATAATACTTTTTATTTTATACCTATATTCGTCTATACGTAAATTTGTCGTCCCCATTGAACCAGGATTATAATTGGAAAAAAGAATTCATAATACAGTATACATAACTTTTCTATAAGATTCCATTGGTTTCTATTTATTCAGATGTTATTGATTATTGCTTAACGAATTCCATATAATTCCATATTCTTAATGTTAGATTTCATGCTTGAAATTGTCGACATATATACCTTAAAAATTAAAAATACGTATATAAATCTATGCCACACATGAAACAATATATATACGGAATTAGACAGAAGCTTAACACCATAGAAATTATAAGTGAACTAGTTCTATACTACAATGTATAAAATAAAATATTTCAATATATATAGGATAGATGTTGTTCTTAAATCATACAGTTAACAAATACTTTCTGTCAGCCATATAAAATAGAGCTTAAATCAAAATAGATTCCACGTGCACCGATGAAACGTGGAAGAGGAGAAGGAGGAGGGAAGGAAAGGAAGAAGATTCGAAACGTGCTCGTTCATTACTATTCATTGTCTTTGATTTTTTCCGAACGTGCGCGTCCCCAATACCGAACGAGCTAAACAAGAACAAACGGTATCCCCCCCTCAGTTCCCTCGACACGTCCCTTTTCAACGATCATAAACTTTTCCGGTCGCAATTTCGTGTAGCACCTTTTTAAATTGTCTTGACCCCAACCGAACACGAACGAAATGATCATTTGAAATAAAAAAAAAAATTAAAAAAGAAAAAAAAGGAATAAATAAAGGGGAAGATGATAGACTAAAAAACACAGTACGCATCCCACGTTTGGTAAACCGTTTTTTACGTAACTAATGTCAGAAATCAGTAGTAGAATTCGTTCTAACGAGTACACAACATCGACGTTTAACGTTCACGTCAAGTTACGGTTAGTGCAATTAGAAACTAATCAAAAGTCATTCTAACGGTATATGTAGGTGTATGGTACATTCTCATTTGAATTAAATACATTTCGCATTTTTCTTTTTTTCTTTGTTTTTTTTTTTTTTTTTTGCATACTCAAATCAATCTACTAAATTTGTTATTTTGTCATATATTTATTTATATGATTTTAGATTGTTATTAAATCGATGTTAAATTATTTCTATTATATTCGATGAAGTCACTTCGTTATAGGATAAAAAAAAATAGGATATTTAAATATCAATAGAGAAGTATAATATGTTAGATAATAATATAATATAATACAAAATATAAGAGTACGGTATACTAAAATATAATATAGCACAGAACGAGTCAAAAATGTTTAAGCTTATGATTTAACAATGTAACAAAATTGATCGTAAAAATTTCAATAATATTTAATTAATTTTTACGATCACTTATAGTAACCATGTCTAATATAATAAATAACTATAGTATAGTACCATAATACTATGAATTTCTATAATTTTAATTTATTATCTCACAATTAGTCAGTGAGATAAAACGAATGAACAGAAAATTAAAGAAGATCAAAGAATATAATCTGACGCGCGAATTTGTGTAAATCTTTGAAAACATTATCGAGATTCGCGTTTGCAATTAAACGACCTTATCAAAACGTCATCGTTGTCGAAGCATTTCCATGCTTGTGCATATTAATCGTACGTCGTTAGAAAGTCGTAACGATTCGAGTCACCGAGTCGTATCGAATGGAAAAGAAGAACGAGCGAAATCGTTATACTGTTCATAGTTAACTTTGTATGTTACTATTTGGTACACATGTGTATAATCTATGTGTGGTACGGTGCGTGCGTGCGTGCGTGCGTGCGTGCGTGCGTGCGTGCACATATGCATATACCACTTAAATTAGGTAACAGAACTCATCGTTCTATTTTCAAATTTATGCTTCCGTTCATACTTTCATTCAACTATTTCGAATAAGTTATTTTTTAATTGTTCATTATACAAAAAAATAGGAAGGTGAAATTAAGAATTTCTAACTTTAAATATTTGTTTAACAAATGTACATTTGTTTTTTCTTTCTCTCTCTCTCTCTCTCTCTCCCTCTCTTGAAATGATTTTATTGAATATATTTAATTATAGAATTATATTAAAATTAATCATAAAAAAATAAGAGCTCGAAATTCTAAGAAAGTTTAGCTTAAATATCTATACAAAACCATCTAATCTTTCTTTTTCCCACCCACTCCCACCCTGCTATTACAATTTCTCTCTCGAAACGATTTCCTAAAGATAATAATAAAAAACAATATGATTTAAAATAAAAATAGGTCTGTTGGGGATACCGAAATGTATCTGAACTGAACAAGACAATTTCCGATGTATGACGATAGAAACCAAAGAGAAAAAAAAAAAGAAAAAAAACTGTGATATCGAAAAAAGAACTGTGACGATAAAAAGGACGATGTGAAGAATGGTGAAAAGTAAGGAAAAAGTAGAAGCAGAAGAAGAAGAAGAAGAAGGGATAAAAAGAAGAAATAATATAAGTGAATTTAGTTGTGCTGTGAAATAGTGAAAAAGAGATTGATATTATCATGTTCACTATGGTAGAACCACGAGACAGCAACGATAGGCTGTCTGGCTGTTCGCCACAAACTCAGCATCATTGTTATCAAGTGATTAGAACAACAAGGGTACATCACAGCTCACGAAGTTCCAGGATGGTCAGCGTACAGGAAAAAGTTATCAGATCGCGCCTACAGTTAGGCTACTCTACACCCACGTCCTTCATTAATCGGTATCTCTCTTTTTTATATATTTTATATTAATTCTTATAATTATTTAGAAAACAAAAAAAAAGTAATATGTTACGTCGAAAAAGTGTGTGTTCGATTAATTTATCATAAATTTCTTTTAACAAAGGCATACCGGAATTCATTTCTACGTTTAATCTTTGAATCCACGTTGCTTATATTTCATTCTCAACCGTAACAAAAAAAGAAATAAATAGTAAAAAAAAAAAAAAAGAAAAGAAAAAATTATTTGAAGAGTAGAAGGGGAGGGAGGAGGAGGAGGAGGAGGATCGTCGCCCCTTTGCGAATCTTAACGAACGTGCGCATTTTCATCGTTAATTGTAATCAACGGTACTGTTAATTGCTCGATGATAATTAGTCAGAACGGAGAAGCTGCAAGATGATATCCAGGCTAATGGAGCACGCTTTAATAATTCTTCTAATTAATTCGGGAGTACTATACTCCCTTCTCTCAACCTCTCATTTCTTTCCTCATATGAGCGCGAGGATTTTTCTTGTATTTTTTTTCTTTTCTTTTCTTTTTCTATTACGACTGACATTAGCACATATACCGAGCGTGACTTCTTAGATCTTAGGAATGATTTTTTAATACCTAAACATGTGTGTTTTACCTAACATAATTATCTTTTACTTGTGTTTATGTATATTTCAGTATATCTTTCACGTTCAAAATTTATAAAAAAAAAAAATAAAATCTTGAATCTTATATTTCATCTTGAATAATATTTTCAGAATTGTTAGTTTTTCATAAAAAACTATTTTATTTATTTGTTTTTATAGGTTTGTTTTATGCAAACACCCCATCAGAAAATATATAATCGTTAAATGAAACGCGCGATGAATTTTATTACACGTAATACGTGTCATAGTAATTTTCACGTTTGTTCAAATCATTCTCACGTTTATTTTTTATCGCGAAGAATTATTTTCTTTCTTTCTACACAATTTTCATATCTGAAGAAAAATTTACGGGCGTAACAAGATTTTCCTTCGTTGATCTCGTTTGAAAAATATTTTTCCTCTCTTTCTTTCTTTCTTTCTTTCTTTCTTTCTTTGATCATCCAAAAATTGCAAATATTAAATAACAAATTTTCTGACGAACCCAAGTGAATTTCAAAGGCAAAGGTAAAAAGCCCCGTAGAAAGGAGGATGGGGGGAAAAAAATGAAAGAAAAATAAAGTAAATTTTGGCTTGAACTTTCATTAAACGAAATGAAATGAAATGAAAAATCATGCGCACCCGGCTGATATTTCATTCTATTTGAGAAGCTATGCATACATACTCGAGACACGATGGCGGAAAAATGAATTTGGAAAAATCAAATAAAAAAAAAAAAATGTTAGGTAAGTCAGCTTTCTCTCTCTTTTCCTAACATTGTCGGGGCGTCGTAGAAACTCTCGTTAATTAGAAGCACGAGTTTTGCCTCCCAGTTGACGAGGTTAACGTCGCATAATTAAACTACGCTATACCTATGTATCAAGATACATACACACACGATTGAAGTAATAGTGTTAGAAAGAGGGAGGGAGGGTATAGGTACTATGAAGTCAGTAGTCAGGTTGTAGTGCGTAGGCTGTAAAGGAAAAGTGCGTTCTCGACCTATACCTCCCACTTCCCACCCCCTTCTCCTCCCTTTTTGTACACCTCTTCATCTTTTATACAAGCCATATACACAAATGTATCTATATACGTATATCATACATGTATATATTCCACTTGTTCGCCTCCTCAGATTTAATATACACCTATCGTGTGTATACTTATACCTATTGTGTTTTATGTTTAATACATATAAACACATATATAAGTATATATATACGTACACTTCCTCTCCGTTGATCTTCTCATATTTAACCATAAACGTATATTATCTTATATACGAGATGTACATTTATATGTATATATACTGTTTGTTCATCTTCAAATTTTGAAAACATCATATAATATGTAATACGTATACAGGGTGTCTCATTGTCAGCAGAAACTTATTAGTTGCCAAGCCAATATTTTTGTTCTTGTAGAGCATAAAAAAAAAAAAAAAAAAAACGAATAAAAATGATCTCATTACGATCATTTATTCTCGAGATAATTAAATCGAAAAATAATAAAATCACATTGGATCATATACTCTCGTATTCCGATGTTGAACGTTACTGTCTTTAAGGAATTTTGACTGGACTCAAAGGCCATTTAAAAACTGGAACACTTTTCTTGCAATCCACGCATGCACGCTCCTTAAATGAATCGAGAAAGTAAACGACTACGTTAAGAACGAAAAATAAAAGGGTGAAGGAAATCGAGGAGAGAGGGAGAGGAAGAGGGGGATTCAACTGCGCGGAAACATCCGATGCGTTTTACGATTTCGCAACGGAAAGCTTTATCTTCTGCATCCTACGGAAACGAAGCTTTCGTTTTATCATGAATCACACGGTACCTGAGTACATAAACTTGTATATGTTATATGTCAAAGCCGGAAATCAGTCATTGCTAGTAATTCCTCGGCATTGTTTATCAAAGTAGGAAAAATTTTGCAGCATCGCATTCTTTGCCATTTTATGAACCTTTGCAGATTTATTTATAAGTCAAATTTGTATTCTACGTGTAAATAAAAGAGTGTACTTTAATTTAATATAAAAATCATTAGAATTTGCTTGCTCTAAGTATAAAAAATATTTGCCGAAACTTTTCAAAGAAATTGCAAAGATGCACAATTTACAGCATCGAATTCTTTGCCACTTTATGAACTTTTTTAGATTGATTTATAACTCGATATGGTATTCTACGCGTAGACAAAAGAGTGTACTTTCATTTAATACAAGTTTTATTAAAATCTATTGACTTTTAGTATAAAAAATATTTACCAAAACTTTTAAAAAAAATTGCAAAGATGCACAATTTACAGCATTGCATTCTCTGATATTCTTTGATAAGTTTCCGTAACAATGATGAGGAATTACTAGCAATGACTGATTTCCGGCTTTGACAGTAACATATATATATATATATATATATGGTACATTCATGAAGTAGGTATCGCGTTACTGTCTTCTTTTTTCTCTTTCTCTTCCTTTCTATCTTTCTTTTTCCGTTTCTTCCGTCAAATGAAGAAGACTTTCCCTTCGGCCAAGCGTGAACATACAACCGTTCGATAATATATGTTCACATTAATAGAGAGAAAATCAATATTCTCAATCGAATCGTATAGATTTAAATGTGCACGAAATATCGATTGGATTTCATATTTTTAATCGTGCCAAAAGTATTCCGGTGATTTTCTAAAATCGATTATTACTTTTTGGAAAGTTTTCAGCGAAAATTGTAGATAAGGTCAAAAAAAAAAAAGGTTTATAGTTGAGTCAAAAGCTACTAAGTAATTTTTACTAATTAATTATTCATTTGGAATACTTTATCGGATTATGTATAATTAACTTTATATAGTAGTTAGATTTACATTAATTTTACGAGTTGGGGATTATAAATTTATGAAATAAAATTAGCTTCAAACTTTCTTGACCCACCCCGTATAATTTTCGATACTCGGCACCGTCTCTATAATCTATATTTTTTTTATTCTGATTACTATTACTGAAGCATGTATGTATATATATATATTAGCCAACTGAGAGAGATATTCTGCATTTTAGATTAGCTACGCGTTTCACCGACTTACATCGTAATCATCGTCGTCGTTCTTTCGAATTTCTTCTCGTTCGAAGTGAAACCGACGATCAAATAAGAGATCCAAAAATAGACAAATTCGATTTCAAGAGCATAAAAAAAAAGAAGAAAATATATATATGCGCATATATATTGCATATCGATCTCACCAATCGACAATATCTATTTCAATCATAAAGATAAAACACACTTATTGATTTGGTTTTCTGCGAAAGTCACGGACAATTTGTTTTTTTTTTTCTTTTTACATTATTTTGTCTAATCACAAAAAATTCTGTTAATAATATTTTTTAAATAAAATGAATTGTTACAGAAGGTTACGAAATGAAGGTAAAAGAAAAAAAAAGTTTAACTTATCAGGACACTCAAAAGGTTAAATAACGCAAGTTCATTTATACTAAATTTCTTGAAAACAGTGAGAAAGTGAAAAAGGAGAGAAAATTTGCATTTTTTGAAGCGTGAATACTCAAAGTCCTTTCCTTTTAATATCTAATATCATACTATCTCTGATTTCCTTTTTATCCTTTTCAGTATTAATTCTCATTGAGTTTGATCGAGCGTGCCAAACGATTTGCCGATCTACAGGACACGGTGCACGCTTTGATTTGAGATCGTCAAGAGGGATATGCAATTGAAACGAAGCGTTAAGAGAACCGAGTTTTACTGGAAACTCATTAATCCGTTAAATTATATCTCCAGTCGTGCATATAACCCCCGAGACGTGTTATTTTTTTTTCTTTTTTTTTTTTTTTTTTTATCGTCACTGATACCGAACAAATTATATACGCGTTTTATAAAACACATTTAATTATATAATATTTATTTATAAACAAATCGCGATTATTATATCCAATAATTTTTTTGTTTATAATAATTTATATACAGTCTTTTGTCTTTCCATTTATATTTATCCTTTTTTTTTTTTTTTTTAGACCTGTCAGAGTACGTGTACGATCATTTTTATTAATTGGAAAAATTCCGTAAGAAATGTTTTAAAATGTTTTCTACGAAAAGCTAACGAGTATGTTGTTTTACTGTTATACGGGTACCCCGTTTATTTTTATTACATCTCAGCGAGTCTATCGTCCAAAACATTCACTGAGGATGTACTTACGTATAAATAGAACGTTCGTGCGCGGACAATAATATGGAGGGAAAAAACTATAGTAACTTATATCTATCTCTCTTTTCATTCCATGGAAATACGATGGCGATAGTACCATGATGATAGAAGTAGTTACGGTATTGGAGAACGGTGAAAGGCGCGGCAAAACGTTAAACGTACGAACGTTCTTTCTTTTATTCT